CTAACCAACAGCACGCGTAAACGTGCGTAAAACACGTGCGACTATGTAAACAGTAAATACTGGCTAAGAGCAGCTCTCACAAAAGCACTTCATCGCTTATTAGACATTTTACCATTTTAACAAGATGAGAAACACAACTCTAATATTAGACTATTTTGTGTGTAATATACACTGCTCTAAAAAAGAAATGCTCATTTTAATATATGCCACACTGGGGCATTTTAATTTTTTATAGCTCTGTGGTGCATATTTTATTAAAGTATGCCATTATTAATAATAATATAAAATATTAGGAGAAACACCACTCCAATATTAGACTATTTTAGTGTGTAATAAACACTGCTCTAAAAAAGAACCTCATTTGAATATGTGCCTGTGGCATTTAAAGGTTTTTTTTTTCTCTTTTGTGGAATTACTACATATTTATTTCCTCGCTTCTTTTTCAAACAAAAAATTGTTGATAAACAATGTCAAAACATTGAGCTAATAAATAATATAATCATATACAAGATCTAATAATAATATAGTGTATAAATTATTTGTAAAATATTTTCCTCACAATAGTTAATAGAATAATTACAATTTTTTGCAGCATTGCGTCGTCGCACAAATCGAAAGCTCCCTAGTATCTCGTAAGCCCTGCCCAGGCTATCAAATTTCACTTGACAAAAACATGTGCCATGCCTACATATGGTCATGATGACATCACATCCTGACCATATATAGGCACATCATGCCTAAATATGGTCATGATGACATCACATCATGACCATATATTATCAGCAAATAAAATAAAATTTGATAGTCTCGACAGAGCTTTATTTAACTGTTGTTTTTTTTTTTTCATTAGATCTTAGTAGAAGTTTGATAATACATGAACTGGGGAGTGGAAGGGATGCAGAAAAAATGGAGATAAACAATCACAATATACACAGAGTTATTCAAGAAGGAAAAGTGCATGGGTAAGTGTACAGAAACTATAAATAACAAACCTATGATAGATTGATGTGATTAATCAATCAATTAGTTTATTCCGCATCTTTGTTTTTTCTTCTTTTTTTTTCGTTTTAAAAAACAAATTACAAATTGGTGGAAAAGGAAAACCAAGGCAAGCAAAGCATTAAAAAAAATGGGCTCCTTTTAAAATAAATTAGATATATATATATATATATATTTTTTTAACATAGATTGAATTGATAGATAGATCAATTAATTAATTAATTGAATAATAAATTGAGTTATTTATTGATTATTTGATTAAAGGAATGTAAATGTTTAGGTTTCATTGATATGCATGTTTACTCAGAAATGTTTTAATTTTATACCATATATAACTGTATAAATTCTTTGTACTGCTGTATTGTGTAGTGTTACATTTTTGTATTATAATTTTTTTTTCGCAAAGAAAAGACAATTTTCCAGTGTTTTAATTAAACAATTATTAAAAGTAACCTTGATTGATTGATTGCCACTCACTCACCATAATCAAGACATTGAATATGCTGAGCAAAAGTATGAGAATGCCTTTATGGTTTAAATAAAATAACAGAGACTGGAACTTTGTTCAGTATGTCAGGCATCTTGGTTTTTTTAAAAGAAATTCTAATCTTTCTCCCAGCACACGCTCCATGGGATCTGCTGCCCTCAACCTGTGCTTTGTGGCACGTGGAGCAGCTGAAGCATACTTTGAATATGGCTTGCATTGTTGGGATTATTGTGCAGGTGCATTAATTGTAGAGGAAGCCGGAGGCTGTGTCCGTGATCCAGGTGGTAAGTTTCCCAAATTATGGATGTCAATCCATCCAATCATTTCCCAGTAATTGATTGATTTGATTTATTTCTAATTTGATTGGTTGATTGATTGACCAATAGACCGAGAGCAGCTTAGCTCAGATTGAGTTATAGATCAATAGCTTATTTAATTTATTAATTGCATAATTGATTGATAGCTTGATTGGTTGAAAGATTAATTAATTGGTTTGATTCATTCATTCATTCATTCATGAATAGATCACTAGCTTAATTAATTTATTAATTGCATAATTGATTGAAATAGCTTGATTGATTAACTGATTGGTTGATTGATTGTTTGAATGATTGATTAATAGATCAAAAGCTTAATTAAATTTATTAATTGCATAATTGATTGATTGAAAGATTAATTGATTGGTGGATTATTTAATAATATATCAATAGCTTGATTGTTTTTATTGATTGCTTTATTTGATTGAGTGATTGATTAATAGATCATTAGTTTGATTGATTTTATTGAATGATTGATTGAAAGAAAAATTGATTGGCTGATTGATTAATTACAAACAAAACATTAAATCTACAGTAGTCTGCAGAAAATTTAAACAAATCAATTTATTTTCTTTCCTTTCTTGAAAGGTGGCGATTTGGATCTGATGGCCCGCCGTGTCATTGGAGGCAGCAGCGTCCAAGTTGTCGAGAATATTTGCAAGTTCTTAAAACCTATTGAATTTGAAAGGGACTAAATGTTATCACCCGAAATTTGAATCCTATAATAAAACTCTTGGGTTCACTAATGATCCATGGTGTAAAAATTATAAACACTGTATAATTTTGCCCAGCATTGGCATACCTGTATTATTTTTCTGTGACTTGTTTAAGTGTTCATTCTTTCAATATAGTTATTTTTTTGTCATAGATACGTATTATTAAATTACACTAATAAATGACACAGCCACCAACTAACTCACCAACCATGAATTTACCAAGTGGACATCTTACTCGTTATCGAGGGATTGCCAATGATGATGATGATAATTATTTTTTTGTCATAGATACGTAAATTACACTAATAAATGACATGTTTTGACATGTATTGTGTCATTATCAGCCAATAGTGCTAATGCTACGATTGGTTTATATACTACCGGACAGATGTGTAACAAACAAGCAAATACCATTGGTAAGTCAATACAGTTGGTGCGCTGAGTACAAGCACACGACTAGGTATACTCCCCAGGGAGCAGGAAAGGGTTGCACTTGTTATCCAGTGACCAGGGATAAAAACGCTGAGTATCTTTGATCATTCAATTTGGCGCTATATAAATAATTGGCATTATTATTATTAGTAATTGCCTGTTTGCCGTGCATCTGAACGGTAGTTTATACACCAGTAGCAGTATAAGCACTATAAACATGTTGTTTATTAGTCTCATTATACCTATTATTCTTTTTATATCTTATGGTCATCACTTTTGTTTTAACATAAGGGCGCTATATAAATATAAATTTATAGCAATAATTTAGTGACAAACTGAACAATACAAAAAAAATAGAATGTAGTAACAAAAGTTTTATAAACAATGTATAAATTGGACAAAAGGTGTAAATATTTTTAATGAGTAGTAATTAATAAAGGAGTAAGTTAACTAGTTGTGGTGCAAAACTGTAAGTACAGCGCTGCAAATACATTCATGGACATTTTGGTTTAAAATAACACCTCAACGTTATTTAGTCAGAAATTGCGTTATAAATAAGTATTTGTGGTTCCACAAAACATCAAACTCTATGTTATTATATAACTAATTTTTAGTTGGTAGGTATATCAAATATATACAAGTGTTTGTAATTATAATGAATAAATTGTTAATAATGTAATAGGCCTATTTTGTTTTTGTAATTTTTGTTTTCAATATAAATCGTCTAGTATTGGACCTTGGACTTTTCTATAATAACGCCTCAATTTTTGCATTGTAATCAATAACTTTATTTCCTCGATGAAATCAAGTTATTTGCTGTAGTAAAAATACGTTGATTATAAGGTGAAACTTTTTATACCTTGTTTAGCGAACCCGCCGCCCGCCAATAATGATGATTTCAAATAAAAATAAAATTTCATTTTTGGCCAATAAGCGCACCGCCTTGAAAAAATAAGAATTTCAGAAATTTTCAGCTCGAAAAGTAATGACTAAAAGATTTTAGAAATCGTTATGTTAATAAGGTACAAACTTAGGATACTACCAACTCAAACGATGGGGCAGTTATGAATGTTTATCATATTTAAAATAATACCATTTACGTTATATCAGGACACAGGACTAAAAAGAGATCCCGAAAAAATATTGATTTAAAAAATACGCTTTAATAACGTTACGAATCATCAGATTACATTTTAAAATTGCCCTATTATAATGGCATATACATATAATACTCTTTCATAAAATCTTGTTCTTTACAAGACTATTTACAAATATTATCAACTAATGTACAATTTCATCAGAAAGTTCAGGTTCGTGAATGTAGGCATCGCACTCGGAACAACATACCGACAGATCTTCGAAGCTTAATGCACCCAAAGATTTAGACCCCTTTGTCTCGACATCAGAGTTTTTAGGGTTTGAAATTAAACCTTTAGAATCCAGAATCTGGATAACACTTCGCACTGTCTGCCGTTTGGTTTCCTGAATAAGTTGTTCAACGGAATCCATATCAAGTTTAGATGAATCGTCATTTTTGTCATCTTTATCTAGGCCTGGTGTCATCAAGAAGGTACGGCAATTTGTAACCCAAAGAAATCCACAGCACACTATGTTTGCAGCTACAGAAAGCAGGAGTAGCAGTTCGCATACAGACGGCTGGAGGAACATATTGTAGAGTAGAAACGCAAAGGTTGACGCGATTGCAACACACATCGTCCATCCAAAGGTCTCGTCTAAGAAAGATTGTAGATCTTCTTCATCTTCGTCGTAAACACTTGATGATGATACAGGACATTGTGTAGAGAAATTCACCAGTATTTTGGCGGGAATGTCTGGTTCCAGTAAGGTGGACGCATTCGATGCATTTTCACCAATACTCAAATTTGAGGACACGTCCTCAAAATCAGTGTTTACACCAACACTGCGTTTCGCCCGTCTTCGTCGTTTCCTTTCTATTAGTTTTGGCAATTCCTTTTCCTAAACAAAATACAAATATTCTATATCGACACATTTAAATAAAACAGAAGACAAAACAAAAAGAAAATACGAACCACTTTTGTAACATAGGCCTCAATTTCAGTGGTTGAATTAATAAGAAAAGAAGAAAAAAATAAAATGTAAGAGACTTTTACAAACATGTATGTCCATTAACCTATATACACTGATACCATGCCACTCTCTTCTCATTCAGCACTTGATGATCGCATATAGCGTGAAACTATAATATATATATGTATGGCGAACCTATTTATAACCACTGAAACGCTCACACATAGAGTATTGTAGTAGATAAGATAGAGAAAAAGATAAACAAGAAGATATAAGTACAATAATAAATGAAACGTAAACCTACAGAAATTAAAATACAGCCTTCCTTAGGTTTTGGTTTTGTGGGTTTTAATATATTGAGTTTCTTTAAAAACACCTTTGCCCGTTTCTTTTTACTTCGTTTTACATCAACGTTTTGCATTGAGCTGCTGTTTTCTACAGTAGTAGACATGGTTGCGGTTGCCATTATTGCAATGAAGATTGTATCCGATCCAAGCAAAGACTCAGCTGTGTATGTGTGTGTTGCAAAGACGCGCGCGTGTGTAAACAGAAACGCACATTTCCATAACGACGCACATGCGCAAATCCTGATGCATATATTGCGCATGCGTTTCTATTGCATAATAATAATGAAATTATTTATCACGTGCAAACAAATTGAGTATAGATTATACCGTACGAAAAATGTCTTCAACTCTAAGTAGGCATTGTATTATTGGCTTCTTTTATTGTTTTTTCGTTTTAATGTTTCTTCTTTTTTTTCTTTTGCTTTCTTTTTAGTGATTGTTATTTCACCATTTGGGGTTTCTATGTTAGTTTTGCTTGATTTTTCTATCTGTGTTGTGTGTGCGTCTTTGAATAATTAAGCGTGTTTTCAAATGGTGAAGATAAAAAAAAAGAAAAAGTATTGCAATTTTAAGATATTTCCACTGCTAACTTATCCATGAGTTTTCATCAGCGTTCCCTTGAAAGATATTCTTCCTCTGCGACTCCAAAAGTTCGTCAATGAACTTGTTATGTAACATGTACATGTTAACCAACGCCTGGCATACGTGCGGGACGGTCCTGAATTTCCAAGTGATTTTGGACGAAACACATTTTGCAGAAACACACGCGTGATCATAAATTTGTCACGCATTTAGCACAAGTCTATGTGCGATAATGAATTATCACGAATTCAGGGGAAAATGTATTTAAAATGAGAAGAAATTGTTTTCATTAAAGTCATGCAGTAACTTGAGTCATTAGGGAACTTTCTTTATCTCGTTATTCAAGGATCAACTCACCGAGAATTCCTCTTTCCCGTTTGTACTCGGAACAAATAATTGTTATTGTCAACAAACCTCCCTGGAATCGTCTTTAATGCCCTGAGCGTCAGTGAGCCAGGGGCTCGCCACCAGCACCACCACCGGTACTCCGCATCCGAATCCCGGCGGGGGCCCTGGCATCCCCCGGCCACCCGGCCCCCAGCCAACTGGTGTAGTCACTCACGCATTTCAAATCTCTCTAAGGTTAGTAACATGAATGGACATAGGCATTGATGTATTCTTGTGATGTAATTGAGAATTGTGTCGAATTGATGTTGGTCATTTAACTACCAATTAAAAATGGAATACAGTACATGTAGTTAATACTGTATTTTCTTTTCGCAAAAATCTGTAAAAACTTTTTATTAGGCATCAGCTAAGCCCCGCCGCTTGGATATTGGGTGTGTAGGGTCGTTATGGGCGTGAACCAATTTGGCCGCGATGTATGTACACATTTTGTATACAGTATTATGTTTTCAGTCAATAATGACAGCGAAAACTACGTACGCGAACACGTGCGCTTATGGCTCAAGCTAGTATTCCTTGTTATGATCTGATTGGTCAATCGTTAGTTATGATTGACGGACAGGTTTACGAGTCGTTGGAATGGGGTGCTATATTTATTAATTTGTTTATGGCTATGTAGCGTTTTAAAGATTATTTCTGTGATGTTATATGAAGACAACTAGTCGCGTACAAGACGATGATACGATCCAAATGGTTTATTGGTAGTAGAAGGTCTTTAATAAACCTAAACACCAAAAACTATTGGCAAGTAAGCTATCTCAGAATCAACATTTAGCATATTTGAAGAAGAGATGTTGAGTGAATCAAGTCGGGATCGTGAGGAATAAAAATTCTTTGATGTTGAGCAAATGAATATTGTAATACAGTGTACCCTCCAATTCGAGACTACTTTTTCTAAGTATAAAATAACAATCTTCAATCTATTAACACTAAGCTATTATAAGGGGGAAAGAAGGTGCAACACCTCCTTTCCCCCAGCAATATTTTTTTCCTCCGAAGCGTGGCTTTACTTTAACGTAGAAAGTACCAAAGGAAACCAAAATAATGAAACATCACAACAATGTCATCAGCACAATAATACTTTCTTTTTTACTTTTTTTTTCCTTTGCTATTTCTTTTTTTTTTTTTTTTACTTTTATGATGTTTCTCTTTATCAATTTTGTACTTATAATATTTTCATTGAATGATTGTAATTTTAATTAGAATGATTATGGAGTTTTATGTAAGATTTTAATACTTTTGATGTAAATCTTCTGATTCAAATTATATAATTCAAAATATATTGCAATGAAACAATAAATACACGGATTTCGAATTTTACTTGAGTTTGTTATCACCTTTATTTTTTGCTTCATTGTATTAAAATTATTGATTAAATATTTGTAAAATATTAAATGTGAATTACAATAGTATTCAGCATTAACTATTAGTTACTACCTGCATAATAAAGAACAATTAGCTAATTAAAAAAAAAAATTATTATTCCCAACCACTTATCTAAATTATTAATATTAAGTTACCACACCCACTTATTTATAAAATTTAAGATAAATTAATTAAAGTGAATTACCAATAATTCTAATTAGAAAACTGATGGTTATATATTAAGTATATTTATTAATAATTACCATGCTGAATAGTGATATCATATACACCAAATTAAAGTTATAAATATACAAAATTAAATTCAAATATAGCACCAGGACGACCTCTGCTAGACATTAGCAAGCTTTCGAAATGGGCGACGCGGGGAGCTGCGACGGGGAATTCAGTCAACCATGAATGTCATACTATGCACTTCCCGTCTCAACATCAAAGCTGTTTCGATTTACAGGACGACGCGCTCCCTCGTATTGCGTGATCAAATTATGCAGGCGCCACAGCGAGCGCGTATTTATAAAACTCACGTTGCCGTAGTCAACACAACGCCAAATCGCTCAAAGCCCGTTGTCAAATCCACACAACAAACGACTTCGCATGTATTCGCATGCGCAGTACGGTTTCACGCTCCACTGCCCGTCATAAAACGCCGCGTCGTCCAAATCGAAAGCTGCTTATTCACCCCAGACCCTCACATCAATCCCCTGAGCCTGGTTCAGTGTCCCCCTTAGAATTTATTCACTTTTATTTTTTTCTGTGATAGCCGCCATCTCACGCTCCCTTTTGCATTTGTGTACAATCTTGTCAAAGGATGTAAGGTAGAATAGACCAATGGCTCTGCAAATCCCCACCAGAAAAACCTATACAAAGGAAATGTAAAAACAAATTCATTTATGAAGCAAGAAAACTGTTGCTTTTTAAGACAAAAAGTCTGCTGTTGTGCTTTGTGCTCATCTGTTTGAGCAAGCCACTTTATCTACCTTGTGTCTCTCTCTCTTGTGACCCAGGAGAATAAATACTGTAAATGCTTGAATAAGCACTGCGGCGCTTATAACATTTTTGGAGGCTTCAGTGCGGCACTTATTCGAGAGCGGCGCTTATTAAAAAAATATTGGCATGGCGCTTTCCATTGTTCCTATTGTTACCAATCTCACGTATTCCCATAGTTTGTTAGGCCTATCATAGACCCTACATCATCGTAAATAAACGTTTATAAAGAAATGCTTGTGTCTTCATTGTGTTATTTATTCATTTGAAAACGCTGTATACATTGTATACAGCGTTCAAATTGTGTTTCATTGCACTCAGGTGCTTATTCACTCAAAATCATGCGCAGCAGCACTTATTCGAGAGCGATGCCTATCAAAAAAAATCATGTTTGGAGCGGTGCTTAATCGAGAGCAGCGCTTATTCGAACATTTACAGTAATAATAATGTGAATTATGTATAGCACCATATCCGTAACATGCGCTCATGGCACTGTCCCAAGTCAAAGGAACTGAATAAGTGGGTACTTAATAGGATCCAATACCAAGCATTGATTCTTGCCTTTTATGGAATCTTGCTCTCCAGAGAGCTGAGGATGTGCTTCACAGATGTTTGATTACATAGCTGAACAAAGAGCAGATGAGCTCCTTGGGGTCAACTTAATTTAAGGAGTAAGATTAGCATGTCTTTAGGGTTAAATTAACTAATACTATTGGTCGGGTTTTTTGGGTTTTTTTTCGACATTTATGTTAATCACATAGTAGTCTTTACAATATGCACTCTATAAGTCAACAATTATTATTATTATGACCAAGTTAAAGAGTGCAAAGCATATGCATTATGTATATAGCACATTATTACCAAATCATCAAATAAATAAATAATCATTGTCATTAAATTATTATCAATATGGTGTTATCAAGTTTTTAAAAAGAGACGATAACATAATGCAGTATATTAATGCCTAAATTGTATTGCATACGGTATGTAACAGGAAACAAGAATATTATTAAGAACATAGAAAACAAAATGGCCTCCCCTGAGCTACGCTCATTTAGGGAGACAACAGTCTAACCTGCTGGAGTGCTTCTGCAGTTGATATAACAGTTGACATCCCACAAGTTATCTGCTTCAGAAGAAATCCATCAAGTCCAACATAGCTCAAGAACACACCACGCTGAATGCAAAGTGAACATGAGCAATTAACAAGAAATGATTGGATAGATGGATGGATTAATTTTGGTGTAAACACCAAGGATAACCCATGAAAAGTTTGAAGAAAGACCTATTTCCAGTGGGGTCCTTCTAGTGGTGATTGGGCAGTACACAGTGAGATAATCCCCTACTCGTTTTGAGTGCATTCTTTAACGTGCACATGGGCCATAAATGCACACAGGAACTAACGGCTTAAACGTCTCATCTGAAGGACACTACTGTAACTTGTATTTCGGCCCTCCAGCTGAAACACAAGGAGGCAGCAATGGAAATTGAACCAGGGACCTAGAGATGTCCACGGTTCAGCGCACACACAATAGCTAATACCAGTTTTCCAAACTGAGCTAAGCTGCTCTCTAGATTTTTTATCATAAATGCAAAAATAATAGATATACTTTATGCTGCTTTTTTTTTTTATTTAAGAATAATTCATTATAATTACATAGTCATTTATATATATATCATGCAGAAACATTTTCATATCATAAATTATGTTATTGCTAATTGTGAATTATATCAGATGTAAAGAACTTTAGACTTGATATAAATTACCATTAAAAATATTTTCTTTTTACAACTAATGGTTTCACTTTTTAGTTCATACCACAATTTAGGATCATTAAATTTTGCAAAAAAATGGTTTTTTTTTTAATCTTACAAGAGGAATAGTATCTGATTTTCTTGTATTTCTAAAGTTATATGTATTAATTAATTTAAGTTTATAAAAAAAATTGTTGAACTACTTTTAGTAATATCTGTTCTTATATTGAAGGAATAAGACCCGGATTTTATGAATATTATACATATTTATAATGTTTACTTTATGTGATTTAAATGACAAGTACATTAACCTACTGCCCAAATGATGATATAAATCTTGCCTAAAGAAATGAGCATGGTTATTATACAAACCTGAGAATCTTTGAGAATTATTTTTGCGACGACATCTGGTTGAAATAATCCAGCAGTCTCCGAAATTAATTGTGTTTCTTTTGGCTGCAAGAAGGAAGAAGTTTATAAGAACATCAAAAAATAGGAGTGATGTGTTTGGAAACATACTGATTATTCATTACGACAACATGTCAGGTAGACTAAAACATCACTCCTATGACATTTTACAGATGCAAACACACATTGAAAAAAACATCAAAGAACTGTTGAAAATGGAAGCGGTTAATTGCTCAGCAGAATGTTTTGGCGTCCCAGCATTGAGGTTGGGGTTTAAACCTCTCAATGTTTACTGTCCTCAAGCAAGGCACTTCATCTGCGTTGCTTCTGTCCGCCCAGGAGTATAAATGGGTACCTGGTGGGGTTGCCTGCTACTGTGCCAATACGGCAGCAATTAAACATATGGAACCGATGACCTGGGATAACAAAATGCTTTGTAGCCTAAAGGAAAGGTGCTATATAAACTCTCGCTGTGCAAGTCGCTTGTGTCCTTGGGCAAGGCACTTTATCTACGGTTGTCTCTCTCCATCCAGGAGTACAAGTGGGTACCTGGTAGGTTCAAACACAGCCTGCGCTGAATACAGCTGCAACATTATGGAATTCTCCTATGGGGCTTGAGTGTGTGTTCCATATGTGCTTGATCCAGTGATCCGGGGGTAATAATGTTCAAGCGCTTCGAGGTTGTGTCAACGTGAGGCGCTATATAAATCCAGAATTATAATTATAAACAATCACTAAACTAATAACAAACTACCTTAGTGACTGTGGAGCACCAAGAGGAGGGTGGGTAATGTAATGTAGTGACAAATAAATGTGATATACCAATATTTGGGCATAATATGACATCATCATGCCCATATATGGACAAATCACACAAAATTTGTCACATAAAATTTGATAGTGTGGACAGATCTTAAAGCCTTGTCCACACCTTCAAATTTGATGTGACATATAAATGTGATGTACCCATATTTGGCCATAATCACATCATCATGCCCATATTTTTTTTTCTTCTTCTTCAACATTTATTTAACCATAACATAATCATAAAACATAATGAATTTGAGTGAAAAATATGAAAATTAAAGTCAATCGCATTTGTTAAGAACAAAATAATAGATATTGAAATTATGATTTGGATCAGGTCTAGAAGCGTCAGCTTGTCTCAACCTGACCCATAAATAATAAAATAATAATAAAAATAATAATAGTAAGGAAAAATTAATCAAAAAGATATACGGTACACTATAATACACATGAATAAATCAAGACCTATAAAGCACAAACCATAATTATAAAAGGTTACTAGTCAGAATAATTAAAAAGATACATTTTTTTCATACGATTTCTAAAAGTTAGTAAATTATTACAATTTATTAGTTGATCATCCAATTCATTCCATAATTTAGGGCCAGTTATAGTAATAAAAAAATTTGTTTTAGTTAGTCTAGAAAATGATACATCAATTTTAAGAGGTTTTATTAAAATATATCTAGGAATTAGAGATATTTGGTAATAAATTAGAAATTGATGAAGGCAATAGTCCATTGACATATTTAAACATGAAAGAGGAAATTTGGATTTTGTGAAGATCATAAATATTAAGAACATTTAATTTCTTAAATAAAAATTCGGACGGAGAATCAAGGGGGGATAAGGATATAATACGAATAATACGTTTCTGTAACTTAAGTAATTTGTCAAGATTGGTCGGATAGTCGGCTGCCCATAAAATATTGCAATACTGGATTATTGGGCATAATCACATCATCATGCCCATATTAGGCAAGTCATACAAAATTGTCACATAGTGTGGAAAGAGCACTATCAAATTTTATGTGACAAATAAATGTGATATGCCCACATTTCAGCATAATATGACATCACAATGCCCATATATGGGCACATCACACAAACTTGTTACATGAAAATGTCATAGTGTGGATAGAGTTTTGGTCTATCTTTCTGGAAATAAGCCACTAATTAGCGACCTCACCTTATCATTACTCTCTGCTTGTAGCATTGGCGTATCTGTGTCTGGAGGGCAGTTCACAGTCACATAGATATCATATGGTTTCACCTTGGGAAAAAAAGTAATAAAAAAAATATATAAAATTTTTTTTAAATATAAGAAAGATAAGATACAATTTCCAAAAGTAAATTTGTTCCTTAAAAAATATTGTTATATGAATGGACAGACACATAACCAGGGGGAGTGGGGTTGTAGTTCGGCAGAATCCCCCCCCCCCGCACCACTTTTTTTTTATCAGTTTACTACTGTGGTAGTATTTTATTATAACTTTGTCTTGTAAAGAAACACTTCTGAGTTAAACTTGGCCTACAGGAAACACCCCTTCCCATGGACCTGATTACAGGCCTGATGGAGGTCGGATTTTAGCATGTTTTCACTGTATGTCGACAAAAACGTGTACAAGGATTCCTATGTTTGATGCGCATACGGCATTGCTATTAGCACTAAGATGACTGAAAAGAATGGAAATATGTGTATACAGTGTCAGGAACCGAAAATGTAAAAAAATGTAATTTCTAGATTCCGTATGTGCTGCATGCGTAAAAGTGTGCGCACGACGCTGAACGTTTGAAAAATGTTGAAATGCTCAAAATGGCCTGAAACATGCTCTAATTTAATCAAAAAGTGACTTTGTGCATTTTAAAATTGTGACGCACGCGTATGTGCGCATTTTTATGTGTGCACGGGAAACTAAGATACATGACATTCAACCTTGACC